GATAGATGCTTCCGATACCTCACAGTTTAGAGAAGTTTTGCTTAAATAGATGAACCAATTTCCCTCTGCAGTGGGGGTCAAATTAGGCTGCATTCTTTTAAATGGACAACTGTGTGGGATGGAGCATTCAAAACAGCCAGACACTGAGACCTATTGTTCCTAGGGAATATTGTGACCCAGTTGGACACTGTATGGTGTCAGCCAGTCAGGTTGAAGTTTTGCTCACTAGCAGTGGTGAACATGGCTGTTGTTATAAATGTCCATCATCACACCCACGGGGAAGGGAACATCACCAAGTAAATGGAGAGTGTCCAATGTTCAACTCAGTGGACACAATGCTGGGAGCAGCATAGTTCTAAAGGGAACATAAATTAGTCTGGAAGTGATTCTAATGTCACAAGGAAACAGCTTCTCTGCTTATGGAGAATTGATCTTTTTCTGGAATTATAAAGCTATTTCATATTTTATAACCATAAACCAAGGAGAAACACTTGAAGAATTAGTTTTACAGCCAAGATTGGCATCTGTTTTTTTTTTCTATGAATCAAGCTAGCTGCACACAATAAATCAGTCTCAATAGCCGTAACTTTATTAAGTCATATATTTATGGTAGACCTTTCCCCAAAATTTATTGAGAAGATTCAAGATCTGCTAATACACACACACACAAGTGTATATATAAAAAGGGAAATCATTGGTATCAGTCTAGGGAAGACACTGGCACTACTGATGCTATGACAGAGGCTGTCTTCTTTCTAAGCTGTGCAACTTAAACTTGCTGAACAAGAATAATGTACAGAATAAGCATATTTGATCATATCCTCCCACTGATGGCTGGTCCCAACAGCTATAACAGCCTGCCACCTACAGTCACAGAACATTTCTTTCAGTAATGGGTTCATGTTTTGGGTGCTAGACTGATGTCTGATGTGCCTGTGGTTTGCAGTGCAAGCAACATGTGAATACATATCTAGTCTATTAACAGGAACTATAAGGAGTTTATGATGCAACTGGTAATAAGCTTATAAAGAAATACATTAAAAAAATCTCATTATGGTTTATCATTTGTTAAGTGAACTCCTGCTCTCTTAAATTTTAAACCAGAAGACAGAGAGAAGGTAACATGCAATCAAAATAAATAGGAAAAAAGCTTATTCATTACATTTTGTTTTGAGTATAGCTTGTGACTGTTTCCACCAGTGTCAAATTATACCTTTCCATGGATGGATAAAGCAGAGGTGGGCAAAATCTGGCCCACCACGGGGTTTTATCTAGCCTGCAGCGAGTCCATCAACCCTGCCCAGCCCAAGCACGGCAGGTAGCCTGGGCCATGGTATGTGCAGCCAGTCCTGCTGCCCCTGGGCACACAGTGTGGCAGGGGCAGCACATTGACTTCCCAGGGGCTTCCCAGCAGCCCCTGCAGTGGCGGCTTCTTCCA